AATCACGGGAATAAATTACATTTTAAAATATATTCACATAAATAAAAAGTTATTTTTAAATTGAAATTATATTTCACTATACTACTGTTTTTACTGGATTTTTGATCAAATAAATGCAGCTTTGGTGAGCATAAGAGATCTTATTTAAATACATGAAAAAACACTAATTATTACAAGCTTATGTCTGGTAGTGTATATCAATTGTATTGTAAAAGTGTGAGCTAGTGGGTGGCTGTTGTTAACAATACTTGTGAATGCGTGACCTTACATCTCTTAGAAATAGAGTGAGAAAGGAAGCAGTAGAGCGCGAGTTCCTCCAAAGAACGGGTTACCTGTGGCCCGTGGATGCCCTCCCGTGCCTCAGTTGTGGGGAGGTTGGCGGTACTGAGGCAGCAGGCTGCTGACAATCTAAGAGAGACTGATAAATTAGACAGATATACAGAGGTGTGATAGTCAGGGTTAGTGACACAAACACAGACAGAGACGAGAAGTGAACTCGCCGGAAATGGCTGCATTGGGCTAACTAGAGTGTGATTCTATGTGTTAATCTCATGCAGAATCACACTTAAAATGAATGAATACAGCATGTAGAATGAGAGAAAAATAATTACAAAACATTCAGCTGCATATATTTGTGTACATTCATGAGGAATACCAGATATAACGATGGAAGGAAAGCAAGATGGAACCACCTTCTGTTTGTTAAACAGAGATACACTACTTTTCAAAAGTTTGGGGACGGTAAGAATTTTTTAATGTTTTTGAAAAAAGTTCTTAGGCTCACCAAGGCTGCATTTATGTGATCAAAAATACAGTAATATTGTGAAATATTATTACAATTGAAAATACCTGTTTTATGTTTTAAAACAAATTGTGTCATTTGTGATTAGTTTAAAAGTAAAGTGTAATAAATATAGTGTAATTTGTAATTATACACTGAACAAAATTATAAACTTATCTGATCAACTCTATGCGAAGGAGATGTGTTGCACTGCGTGAGGCAAATGGTGGTCACACCAGATACTGACTGGTTTTCGGACCCCCCTGGACCCCCCAATACAGTAAAACTGCACATTTTAGAGTGGCCTTTTATTGTGGCCAGCCTAAGGCACACCTGTGCAATAATCATGCTGTCTAATCAGCATCTTGATATGCCACACCTGTGAGGTGGATGGATTATCTCGGCAAAGGAGAAGTGCTCACTAACACAGATTTAGACAGATTTGTGAACAATATTTGAGAGAAATAGGCCTTTTGTGTACATAGAAAAAGTCTTAGATCTTTGAGTTCAGCTCATGAAAAATGGGGGCAAAAACAAAAGTGTTGCGTTTATAATTTTTTTCAGTGTATATAGCATACATTACTTCATTCTTCATTGTCACATGATCCTTTAGAAATCATTCTATATGCTGGTTGGGTGCTCTAGACACATTTCTTATTTCAACATTAATTATTAATAGTTGCACTGCTTAATATTTCTGTAGAAAAAAAAATCATTATTTTTCTTTGATGAAAAAAGTTAATATTCACCAGCATTTATTTGAAATAGAAATATTTTGTAATATTATAAATGTCCTTACTGTCATTTTGATCAATTTAATGCATCCACGCTGAATAAAAGTATTAATTTCTTTAAAAAAAATCTTTCTGAGCTCAGACTTTTAAACAGTAGTGTATGTGTCAGGCGCAAATGATATGCAGTGTTGCTGCTTTGTTAATGAGAGCGTGCAAACACACATACATTTATACATTTGACAAGACAAAAAGTAATATCTAACACAGTACAGTTGATGATGCTGTCTAGCTAAGAGCACATATACACAAGACATTTTAATAAGATTTTTTCTTTTTCCCATTCACACTCCAGTGTAAGTAGTTCTTGTGCAAAACTGACTGTCGTGATGCTGGGGTGTCATGGGTGGTTATTTGGGTGTTGTTATATGCAGCCAATCTATGTGTTTTTTAATACATTGCTATGCAGTTTGTGGGTGTACTGGGCAGTTGGTTGTATAAATGCATTATTGACATAACCATCTCTATATTGCAAACAATTATGTCTACAGCGCCAGTGTCAAAAATGTAATTTTATTGTATTTTAATCAGAAGGAAACTACTGCTCTGTTGTTGGGATACGTTTTGATCGCCATGGGCAAAACAGCATTTGACACATTCAGTAATAAGTGTGAAATGTAGAAACACTGACACCTACAGGCAGAAAATGGACGCATCCACTGCTCTTTTATGGACATCATTATCAGAAATATAGTTTTTTTTTTTTTTTTTAGGATTCTGGGTACTGTCACTATTGTAAAAAAAAACTGTTTTAACAAAACTATCAGAAACTATAACAGTGTTACACCTCATGAATTTGATGCATTTATTTGACATACATTATGTCATATTATGATATGACTGTTTAAATTGTTATTCTCAATTTCGTTAAACCTTTCCTTACATATAGGGGAAAAATGGTCAAGTGCCATTTCATTCCTTAATGCTGGGCCCTGGTGACACCGGTGAAGCAGATCAGACTGGTTTCCATTACACTAGAGTAGAACTCCATAATTTACAAATGTATCAACTGAGTCACATCATACACAATACATGTCACGTCTTTAAACAAGGCGCGGGAAACAGCAATATTACAAAGCTAAACTCGACCTGAAATCTCTGATTACTCCTAGAAATAGAAGAAAAAAAAGAAAACCTCTCATTTCCAGAGGCTTGTCTATGCATGTAATGTAACCGCTGTCTATCATCAGATCTGTATGAACTACATCTCAAGTCAGTCTTGCATGAGCAATGCTAACACAATGTTCTGATGTTCTGTACAACCTTCAACTGCTGACCTTGTCAAATGCTTTTTAGTCCACAGCTCCTTAAATGAACGTCATTCTACAAAACGAGTGCCTTTTTTTGTATTAAATACTGTACATATTATATATATACACATTATATATTATATAAACTTAAAAAATGAATGTAAGATGTAAAAGTTGTCATCTGTTTTTTGTTGTTATTTTATTTTTTTGGCCGCCTTCTTGCTAAATTACCAAATACTTATATTTTGATGAAAAAATATATGTGAAAAAAGAGTTGCATTACTTTCTGTTTAAGTGGAGCAAAACAATAGATTTTAGTTGAGTGAGTAAATAAAATAAAATAAAATAAAATATGGTCTGTTATGTTTGTCAGATCTTAAATCGTTACCATTATTTTCTTTAAAAAAACAAAAATAGAAATAATAATATAATATAGAATATATTATATATTGTATAATAATACAGAAATATTACCATTAAATTATCTAATACACACCTTCCAATTTTACATCTATAAGCAAAGGGATTAAAATGTCATATTAAAATGTGCAAAACTGTCCACCGTGTTACCCACTGTATATTAACATTTTAACCCTGTTAAAATGCATTAAAAATCATAAATATAATTTGAGACGGAACAATACAATTGATAAAAACTTACTAAAATTTACTAAAAACATTCAGAAATTCACTAAAAATGTCCCTGTCAAACTGGAAAGGCACCCGTTCCATAGAATGACTCATGGTATAATGAATGACACATTTAATGTGGCTCTGTACTTTACAGCTCATCGAAATGCAGTAGCTGGGCAGCAGGCAGCATATGCAAGAACACATCCCTGCATTTGCATATGGCAGATCCTGCATTGCCATATGCTGTGTCCATGAATAGAACAGCTCTCGCTGGCACATTTTATCATACAGGGTGCGTAGGGATCAACTGAGCATTTTCTGTTAGCTAGCAAAGCAGTTTGCATTTATCTTTAAAATAGGTTTAATGTGATTATACATGAGCTACTACTTATGATTTCAGTATTCTGCACTTTGAAAGACTCATAAGGCTCGATGATTACATAAAAGCAAAAGTAAATGTTCTATTCTTCAGTGCACACTGTTGCCAGTGGATGGAGCTGTAGTTATGTCAGATGTGCTATTTGTCAATGCAAAAATAACTGAAAACTCCATCACACAAACTAACTGCTTTGCATGCAGTATGTAGCACTCATTTCTTCAAGCCATAAAATGGAAGCGCACATGCGGGAATTATATTCTAAAAGAGACATGCACCAATCAATACCTGTTTTGCTTTATAGAATAATTCTTCCAGCATGATCCAAATACTGATGCAGATTCCAAAAACTGTGCTTACCAAAAAACAGTTTTCTTATCCAGGCCGCAAAAAAGGACATCAAGCGTAGTGGATTTTTTTTTTTAGCATTATTTAATCTTATTTTTATACCCAGACAACAATATCTCACAAAGCCATGTAACTCAAGAGCATTATCGGTCAAAAGTTTGGAATAATTATGATTTTTTAAATGTTTTTGAAAGAAGTCAGAATACATTCTAATGTGCTGATTTGGTGCTCAGGAAAAAATTCTTAATATTATCGGTGTTAAAAACTGCTCCTTAATATTTTTTGTGAACCCCTGTGATACATTTTTTTCAGGATTCTTTGATGAATACAAAGTTTGAAAGAAAAGTATTTATTTGAAACAAATTTATTTTGTAACATTATAAATTGAATGTGTTCTTGCTGAATAAAAGTATTCATTTAATTTCTTACTTTCTTTTTTTTTTTTTATCGTACTAACCCCAAACTTTTGAATAGTAGTGTATCATGTGGTAGTGTTTCCATGAAAATATTAAGCAGCACAATTGTTTTCAACATTGATAATAATACGAAATGCTTCTTGAGCCGCAAATCAGCATATTAGAATGATTTCTGAAGGATCATGTGACACTGAAGACTGAAAATTCAGCTCTGCCATCTCAGGAATAAATTACATTTTAAAATATATTAAAATAGAAACATTTCTTTAAATTGTAATAGTATTTCACTAGATTACTGTATTTTTGAACAAATAAATGCAGCCTTGGTGCGCATAAGAGAATTCTTTCAAAAACATAAAAAAATGATTCCTACATTTTGACCGATAGTGTATTTCTAGAGTTGGCAAAACATAATTCTGTTCAGAATGAATTAGTTGAAATTTAAAGTAGTATCAATAAAAAAGTCTCTAAATCTATCCCTGAGTTGAATCATATGCTCCAAGCAGTCATATCAGATGGAAACCAGTCTGTCCTTAAACCGTGTCACCTACTGAGGGTCACTAGGGTCATTAGGGATTCTGGGAGTCCCAGGCTGGACTAGAGAGGTCCTTGAAGCGGCCGAAGGCATGAACTGAGTCACACTGGAGCGCATGCGAGATCTCACAGAACGTGGCAACGGCTGCCGAGAGCCCAGGACAGGAGAACGGTAGGGGGAAGTAGGAGCAGATCTGGGAATGTGAGCATCAGAGTCTCCGCTATGAACAACATGACAAAACTCAATACTTAGCGTCTCTGGGTCTAAAACTAAAGTCTGAGTGCCCAGTTTCCACTGCGACTGGCCGAAGAAAAACGGCTGGGCTGAGGAGGTCCAGGAGGAGGAGGATGGAGAATGGACATCCAGTGAAGGAGAGCTACTGGCTGATGCAACCATATTGTTTTGGAATAGACAGGAAGGGGGTTTTGAAACCGATGCAGTGGGACTAGGGGGAGCAGTGAGTGCAGTTTGATGACTTACTTTTTGAGGGCTGCTCTTTATTTTTGGCACTTTTCCTCCACGGCCACAATGTGACTGCTCGTGGTCAAACTCTAAGTCTTCCAGGCGTTGGGTGAGGGACAGTTTCTGCTGAATAGCCATTCGCAGGAGGGAGTTCAGAGTCTTCTTTTCATCTTCTGCGGCAGCCAGCTGCCTCTGCATCTCATCCAGCTGAGTTACGTACTCATCACATCTGGACAAAAAGGAGGAGAGAACATAAAACATCAGAACACATTGTACAAGACTGAATAAGTATTATCTTGAATAATTACAACATATTTTACTACCATAATGTATTTCTGTGTGAAACATAATATTCAACCTTAAAAAATATAGTGAAGAACTTGATTTTGTCCATCTTAAGTTATTAGATTCCTGAACAAATGGCTCTAAAATGTTAGTTCTTTTTAGTCAAAAATCAATTGTGTAGTACGATACATATGCATTTTAGTAGTATTTTTACAAATATGAATAAATTAAATATGTTGCCATTTTTTTTTTATTTGTTGTTTAGTATGGTTGTTTTACATACTGTAGAGTTAAAGGGTTAGTTCACCCAAAAATGAAAATTAGGCTGTGTTTTACTCACCCCCGAGGCATCCTAGGTGTATATGACTTTCTTCTTTCAGACGAATCCAGTCGGAGTTATATTAAAAATCTAGCTTGCACTCACTGTTGTACACGGAAGCAGCTCCGGGCGGATAACGTATGAGGTCGGCTTTGCGCATGCGCCGCTCATTAGTGACGCACGCGGAAACGCAGCGGAGAGATCGAAACAAAAAAACGGTCACGAATTAGAAGTACAAAACGAGGATTTGTAAAGAAGAATGTCGGAGGATTTCGATATAAGTCAAGAAATGACTGGTTTTCCTTTGCTAAAGTAAGGAAACTTTGCTTCCTTTGATCCTCTTAACAAACGTTGGTTTTCAAATGTCAGAGGATTTCGATATAAGCCAAGATGAGACTGGTTTTCCTTTGCTAAAGTAAGGAAACTTTGCTTCCTTTGCTCCTGATAACAAACGTTGGTTTTCAAGAGACTCACCGGCGCATGCGCAATGCGGAACTCATACGTCATCCTCCCGGAACTGCTTCTGTGTACAACTGTTGGCGCAAGCTAGATTAAAGTGATTATTACGTTTTGAATATGGATATTTGTCTTACAAAAACGCATGCATTCACTACAGGAGGACTTTGTTCACCCCCCCGGAGCCGTGTGAGACAAATTTTTTTATGGATGGGCGCTTTTTATTTAACTTCTTTTGGACTGAAGCACTGCAACACCCGGTGACTGCAATGATAGATAGAGCTTGGAATAGCCAGGACAATTTTTAATATAACTCAGACTGGATTCGTCTGAAAGAAGAAAGTCACATACACCTAGGATGGCTCTGGGGTGAAAAAAATAAAATTTTTGGGTGAACTAACCCTTCAAGGCCAATTATTGTATTGCATTTATGCCACATTCAAAAATACATTGTCAATAAAATACCATTTTCTAAATTTTAAACTTTAATTTTTACAATTTTTAGTTGTGTCCCCAGCTGACACAAATATGTTCTAAGGACATTTTGCTAACGTTTCATTAAGTTACGAAAACATTCTTTCTGAATGCTCTCTGAACGTTCAAACGGTTCAGTTTTTTAAATGTTTAAAACCATTTTTCTTTGTTATACAAACATTATGGAACATGCAAACATAGAAATGTTACTTTTGAAAGTGATCGTTTTGAAACAAATAGAAATATTTAAAAAATCCAGTCACATCCAGTGTAAAAATTCTACAAGGATCTTTATTGGAATCATTAAGGAACCAGAATGATTCCAGCAACCAGCAACCGTTAATAGGAATCAGAACCTGAACTTATATTTCCATCCCTACCTGTAACAGTAACTAAATGGCTATTTAGCTGTTGGCTAACACTATTTCCGACCTAGGTGAGATCAGTCAGAAAGTAAAAGAGTTTCAAGCAGTTACATTTTGATGAAAGATTATTACAAATACAGAACATTTTGTTAAATCATGAATGTTATTTAAAGAAAGAAACCAGTTTGGATGTCCTCAATAATAATAAATGCCGATAAAGGCTGATAAACGCACCTTGTGGCAAACATTGCCCTCAGTGAGGAAAAGGTGGCTGCGTCTTCTTTGAGGGCCTTCAGTTCATTTCTAAGCTTCATCATTGTCTCCGTCACCATGGATTTCTCATTTTCATATTTGCTCTTCAGGTTCGCAAGGGCCACCTCGGCAGTCTAGAAACACAAATGAAAAACATATAATGTTCTGTTTAATATGCTTCTTTTTGAGACCAAACACAACTGGGGATATTGGGATTTGCATGGCCTTCTTACCTGTTTGTTGGCTTTCAGGACTAGACGCAATGTGGCGATCTGCTCTCTCTTGGTGCTCAAGAGGGATTTGAGTTTCAGGATCTCCTCCATGCAGACCTCTTTGTCCTTATCTAGGATGGGTGCCAACTCTCGTGCTGCAGCCCTCTGCCTGGAGAGCTGCAGCGAGCGGTCCACAGCCTTCTGCAGGTGCTTGATCTGGTCACGGATGATGGCGTTGAGGTTATAGATGTTCATGGGTTCCCGGCGGAGATCACCTGTTTCTGGAACTGGGGAGGGTGAGAGAGATGAACCATTGATTGGTGAACCAAAGGGGGTTTTGTTGGGACTTCTTCCTTCCCCTTTAGTTCCTTCTCCAAGGGGTTCCTTTGATGGAGAGTCTTGAGGACTCTTGGACATGTCTGAGGAGTTAGCAGCCGCGATACGGCGAGCTAAACGTGGAGAAAGCAGTGCTCTTGGGTCCTCTGGGCCTTTGAGACTGCCGCTACGTGTAACCCGGCTCTGACGGTAGTAGTCCAGCATGACTCGGTTCGGCGTTTCGTTGTTGCACAAGCAGACATGGTGGTAGAGCTGAGCAAGTTCCTCACTAAACGTAACCAGCTCGTCCTGAGCTGTGTTCAGCATGCCGTTACTTTCACTAGCCATAACGGAAGCACACCGGAGCTCCACTTCCAGACTGCTAACCCGCTCGCGGCCCTCACGGCAGGCTTTCTCCAACAGTTTCACCTGCTCTTCGAGAGCCTGGACCTTCCCTTCACTGTGGTTGCTTTCTTCTGATTGGTTCTCCAAAGACTGGTTATATTTTTCCTTCAAAGCCTTAAGCTCTGCCTTCAAGTAAATAACCTCAGTCACGGCAACTCTGTATTTGCACTCCAGAAGCTCCATTCCATTGATGTCTGCCTCATAATCGCAGCAACCGTTAATGGGCACGTCGTTCTTCTCTGACTCCTCCGTATCAAACTCCTTGTCACTGTAGAGGTGCTTCATAGCGTTGAAGCGCTCCGTAAGGCGGTGAACGCGTTTGTGCTGCTCAGTTAAAGCTCCCTGCGTGTGCTGCAGTTGAGTTTGAGACTCCTGCAGGTTGGAAAGTAGAACTGCCTTCTCTCGCTCAACCTAGTGGACAAGATGATACATAGGTTGTTAGCAAAATCCAAGATCTAAAAAAAAAAAAAAACACTATATGTTAGCCTTGCCATTCATTCAGGGGGAAGTCGTGAATAGCCTTGCCATAATTCCTAGTATGGGTCACCATACTTGGCCACATGTCACTTCACTCACTCATTTACACAACTGGGGTCAGTACACTTTTAAAAAATATTACTTACATTCATAAATGACACATTAAATTGATCAAAGGTGACAGTAAAGACATTTGAAATGTTACAAACGATTTCACATTTCAAATGAAATATGTTCTTTTGAACATTCTATTCATCAAAGAATCCTGAAAACAAGTATTAAAGGGACAGTTCACCCAAAAATTAAAATTCTGTCATTAATTACTCGCCTTCATGTCGTTCAAAACCCGCAAGAACTTTCATTCATCTTCGGAACACAAATTAAGATATTTTTGATGAAATACGAGAGCTTTCTGACCCTCCACAGACAGCAACACAACTACCACGTTCAAGGCCCAGAAAGCTAGTAAGGACAACGTTAAAATAGTCCATGTGACATCAGTGGTTTAACTGTAATGTTATGAAGCTACGAGAATACTTTTTGAGCATAAAGAAAACAAAAATAATAATCAAATAATGATAATTTCTTCTCTTCCATGTCATTAAGGTTGAACCACTGATGTCACATGGACTATTTAAACAATGTCCTTACGACCTTTCTGGGCCTTGAACGTGTCAGTTGCATTGCTGTCTATGAAGAGTCAGAAAGCTCTCGGATTTCATCAAAAATATCTTAATTTGTGTTCCTAAGATGAACGAAGGTCTTATGGGTTTGGAACGACGTGAGGGTGAGCAGTTCACCCAAAAATTAAAATTCTGTCATTAATTACTCGCCTTCATGTCGTTCAAAACCCGCAAGAACTTTCATTCATCTTCGGAACACAAATTAAGATATTTTTGATGAAATACGAGAGCTTTCTGACCCTCCACAGACAGCAACACAACTACCACGTTCAAGGCCCAGAAAGCTAGTAAGGACAACGTTAAAATAGTCCATGTGACATCAGTGGTTTAACTGTAATGTTATGAAGCTACGAGAATACTTTTTGAGCATAAAGAAAACAAAAATAGTCAGAAAGCTCTCGGATTTCATCAAAAATATCTTAATTTGTGTTCCTAAGATGAACGAAGGTCTTATGGGTTTGGAACGACGTGAGGGTGAGTAATTAATGACAAAAATTTAATTTTTGGGTGAACTATCCCTAAAGGTTTCAACAAAAATAGAAATAGTTAAGAAATGAAAGTTCATCAAGCACAAAAATGTCAACAACAACAACAACAACAGCAAAATGAATTGAATTACATGATACATGATTCTAGTTTTTTGCATTCAGTTTCTCTAGTAAAAGTCTAACCTACAATACTTTTGTTAGAAAACATGGAATATTTCACTCTATGTGCTTATAAAATTCCATTCTATAGATAGTTGTGATAGCTAGGTGTGTTAGCTTGCTTGTCACAAATTTAGCATAACCACAGACATGTGATTCCTGTCATTGAGCTCAAGTGCTGCTTAATTGCTTTTTGATCACTCATTGTATCAGAAGCGTCAGCCATCTAACGCTTGAGGCTGAGATAGCGAAACTCCATCGATTCCTTTCAGGCAATGAGCCAAGAACAACACAAGAAAATATATTTAACTTTTTTTCTGGATAAATGCCAGGCAACTACAGTAGCTGGAAGGGTGAGGAAACAAGTAATTATAACCAAGCAGTGACATAAATGAGTAAACTGCACATCTAAATAGCAAAATATACTACAGCAACTGCTTCGTGCAATAGGATGCTGAAATAATAGGCTCTTGGCTGTACATTTGATGGCAATCCCACACAGCAAGAGAAAACATTACTACAGCCACAGTCCCCAGAGGAGACCCTTAGATGCAAACATGTTATATAATGCTTTTCATGAAATTGATCTGTTTAGACTACTTGGATGAATTTATGTGTGGTCACATTGCTTTTTTTAAAATTCATACATGAACAAATGGCCATAGTGTTTTTTAATATATATACTGTATAATCTTAAAATACAAATGAGATATATTAATAAATTATTTTTATGTATTAATTTTATTTTAATGATTTCATATTAAATATTACTGTACAAACTGTATGTGCTATTGTCCTACACCAACCCTACCCCTAAACCTAGCCCTTACAGGAAACTTTGTGCATTTTTACTTTCTCAAAAAAACTAATTCTGTATGATTTATAAACTTGTTTCCTCATGGGGACCTCAAAAATGTCCCCACAAGGTCAAAATTTACTAGTATTACTATCCTTGTGGGGACATTTGGTCCCCATAACGTGATAAATACCAGGTACACACACACACACACACACACAATGGGTTTTTGTTTTTTTTAACATGTACCAATGCATTTACACTGACAACAAGCTACATTCACTGCAATTATCATGCCATTTTTTTGTCTGATTTGCTGTGTGATGCTCCTTTAAGCAGCTGATGCTCTCTATGTTTCTGTGTCCACGCTGGCAGATTTTCTATTCTTGTCCCATGCTGTCTCTTTTGCTGAATATGCCTGTGGCACACGCACATACAAATACATTACTGTGTCCTGCTTTTACAGAAGCAGGCACAAAGCACTCCCTCATAATGGTAATCAACCTGACAGTAACCTCCCAAAGCACAAAATAGACTTTTGCACTTACAGCAATCAACTTTCCTTCACTCAAATTTACACCTAAGCTCTTAATACCTAAAGTGTTTTAACAGTCATTACAAATATGTCTATGCTAAAGTGTCAAGGGTATCAAAATGTGTCAATAAAGGCATCATTTGATGTCCATTGAGACTGACTGGATTAATAATGGTTAATGCCCTTTAAAGGGTTTAAGGCATCTATGTTTGCTTATAAAGTAGTAGTAGATGCATTAATTCTCTTTCACTCAACAGGAGTCAATAGTTGCCCATTAATTCACTGGATAACAGCTGTTTTCCCCCAAAGCACTAAAATACTAAAAGTACTAAAATAACACTGAAATGAATTAATAACCAACTAAATAGTTTTTCTGACAGATAAAAAAAAGAATAAAGTTTAGAAGGTATATCAGTATGATATTTAAATGAGATCTAGTTGAAAAACTGGAATAAGTTCTTTAAAATGTTTTGGGGGGGATTTTTGTCTTTTTTTAAAATTATTGTTATGATTCAAACATGTCTCCTACATGAGCATGATCCACTAAGCTAAATCTCAAGATTAAGTTTAGATAAAATTAATCAAACTAAATAAATATTGCTCTCCAGTCTCATTTCATACTCTGGTTTTGCCACAATCCCTGCATATTCTATGCCTTATGCCATGTGACCAACCTGTAGAAGCTGTTGTTTGAGTTTCTGTATCTCAGACAGGCTGAGTTCGCTGAAGAGATCAGACACTGGGTGCAGCACCTCTCCCTTCCTGCCTCCCAGGCGGTGATATTCTCCGTTCACCTTTGGTCCATGCCCATTGCACTCATTACAGCGGTTACGGTCCTCATTGTTGGGGCTGGACCCAGATGCAGACGTGCCATTGGTCGCTGCCTCCTCTGCTAACTTCAAACCCTCCACGGCAGAGATGGCCAGGTGAGTGCTGGCTCCGTACACACTGTCCGTCAGGCTGAGATGATGGGCCAGCTCCTTTCTCAGATTGTTCTTCTGCTCTCTCTCACTCTTCAGAGCATCCAACGCCTCTTCTAACTGGCCTTCAGAAATGTCTTTCAAACGCAAAGCGTCTTCCAGCTGGCTGTTGAGTAGCACTGTCTCTTCCTCAAGCACTTTGATTTCATGCTTTAGACCCTCATATTCCACCTATACATTTTAAGGAGATTAAAGAGAATGTGAACAGGCATATTTATGGACAATTGACGGTGTAATATAAGAATAAGAGAATAAGACAGAATAAGAATAATATTGTGTGTATATTATGCAATTTATATATATATACTGTACATATACATATATATATATATATATATATACTAATTTGAGGTAAATGTTTTCCATGTAATATATTATTAACATAATGGCATAATCTTAAAGGTACGCATAATGTGATTCAAGTAGGACATGTTCGAAGGTGAACATTCAATACTATCAAATCATCCCATAAAATCACAGTCCTAACTCTTACTACTAAAACCACTGGTTTATGAAAATGTTGTTGAAACCAAACCCCAACCTTATCTATCTGATCATATCATATCCTATCATCAAGGATATTGAACTAGTAATGTGTCCTACTGGGTTAAATCATGTTAAGCTTGAAAGTACAGCATGGAAACTTAATTATGAGCACAAAATTACATTTTTGGTGGAAGAAACCTAACATTTTAAATGTGAAGAAAAACTTCTGGATGTCAAGAGGTCACTAGAGCCACTAAATTTAAGTGACTATACATGTAATTCTACTCTATAGTGGTTTTGATACTGTGTTTCACAATTATTGTGTGTGTGTGTACAGTATATATACCTGATTCTGTTTGAGTGTTGACACTAGTTTCTGTAGGGTGATGTTCTCCTCCTCCAGTTCAGTGTAGTCCTGCAGCAGTCTGGTCTCTCTGAACTTATACTCTCTGATTTCCTCTCTCATCCTGTTCCTCTGTAGCTCTAACATCTCATTATTCTGAAAGAGAGAAAGGGAAGGACAACAGAAAAAAAAAACATGAGTCACTTGGCTGTTTATCCATTACCCCATTTCAGAACAAAGAATGATTGACAAAATCCGCTTGTTAAAGAGGTAAGAACAGCATCGATGTTCTGGACAGCATAGTTTGAAGGGTCTGTCTTCTCCAAAGAGGCAAAGAACGTTTTTAGCCAGTTCAGCCAGTTTTTAGCAACGATATATCTTGGTTAAATTAAAACTCAACCTCTGTATCTGTGATAAACATAACACAGAGAATTTTATGACTAATGGTCTAAAAAGAAGATGGTAATAAAATAAAATAAGCAGTAACCCTATATATCTATCTATTGAAGGACTCCTTATTGTCATTATAATGGTGGTATGAGAAATGAAATAGAAAAGAAAAGAATATCTATTAAGAGCCTCCTGTTTGTCATTATTTTGGTGTTATGGGTGAGTATGTCATGATGAATCTTTGTAAGGAATCTATAAAAATCCATTAGCCTTACATTATAATAGCTTTGTATCTGTGAGTCAGAGTCTAAGATGATACTGAGATGTCAACACTTGAGCTGACAGGAATGCTGGGTAACAAATTGCTTTCCTTTAGAGGAAACCCAAGTCAGCACATTCTTCCTCACAGTTCAATCTATATGGGAAAGCCGAGACAAATGCTTTTTTAACAGCTGAAACAGAATGTTATGAGCAAGATGACAAAATGTTGCATCGTAATGAAATAGAAAAGAAAAGAATATCTATTAAGAGCCTCCTGTTTGTCATTATTTTGGTGTTATGGGTGAGTATGTCATGATGAATCTTTGTAAGGAATCTATAAAAATCCATTAGCCTTACATTATAATAGCTTTGTATCTGTGAGTCAGAGTCTAAGATGATACTGAGATGTCAACACTTGAGCTGACAGGAATGCTGGGTAACAAATTGCTTTCCTTTAGAGGAAACCCTCAAGTCAGCACTTTCTTCCTCACAGTTCAATCTATATGGGAAAGCCGAGACAAATGCTTTTTTAACAGCTGAAACAGAATGTTATGAGCAAGATGACAAAATGTTGCATACATCGTAATGTGTCTGATAATGTAGCACTAATCTATACAACAGTGAGTCATAATAAGTGGCCAAAAGGTACCTCTTTATGGCTTTCTACCAAGTTACCAGCCCTGATCTTTAATCATAATGCCTCGTACAACTGTTTGTGCCAGCATTCACAATGTAGTAAAACTTTGGAATACTTAAACCATTCTTCAAGAGCAGATTGCTGGAAAATCACAATAGCTGAGAGAGAAAACCCCCCACCGTTGCACAAACTGGGCAGAACTGCTGATGAAGAGTCAAAGGTGTGGAACAGACATGGGAACAGAGCCAACCTTGGGAGAAACCTAGATGCTGATTGGGCAGTAAGACAAACGTGTAGCGCACAGCATATTTTAATTATCTCAAGACCACATGTTTTATTTACAGTTATTTACACTAAAAGTTTGGGGTCAGTAAAGTTTTTTTCTAAAATAAATTAATACTTTACTTTAAAATGGTCAAACGTGACAGTAAAAAAATATAATATTAAAATAGATTTCTGTTTTGTTTTATACTTTCTATTCATTAAAGAATCCTTAAAAACATAACGATTTCCACAAATATTTTAAGCGGCACAACTGTTTTCAAAATGTATAATAATAAATGTTCTTGAGCACAAATCAGCATATTAGAATGATTTCTGAAGGATCATGTGACACTGAAGACTGCAGTAATGATGCTGAAAATTCACCTTTGACGTCACATAAAATATAATAAAATAGAAAACAGTTATTTGTTATTTTAAACTGTAATAATATTTCACAATATTACTGTTTTTTCTGTATTTTTTGTCAAATAAATGCAGCCTTGATGAGCAGAAGAGACTTTTTTTTAAAAACATTACAAACCTATATATATAAGTTCGGCTTTATAACCTAGTGTCTATAAAAAAAAAACTGTCTAGATGTTCACTGAAGCTGCAACAAAATCCATCCAAATTGAACTAAAGCTGTCGCCAACAAATCCACCATAACTAGAATAAGAGGATCAAACACTGTTATGTCATGAGATATTTTGCACACCCTGGCAGACGACCTTCCCCTGAGCTGAGATATTGATTACTGTACACAATACCACAGCTCTTCCAGAGGATGTGATGTCTCATTGCATATTCCAAGCGCTGCCGTGCCAGTTCAAATGAGCTGGGCATGAACTCCAGGGGATTACTGACCAATTATCACCCAGTACAGCTCTATTGTAGCAGTGGTAATCATGGGCTTCACACACTCAGGGGTCAGGAGCAGTGCAGTAGCCTACAGTACTGGAGCAAACCTAGTACGTGCCGTGCCAAAATCCGCTAACCGGTAATGCTGGTTATAAGACTGAAATGATTCACCTGTATTATGAAGTACACAAAGGCCAAAATTACACTAGTGTCATCAAATGGTATTGCAAAAATGTTTTACTTCCAAACCCACCCCTTCCAGACCGCCCCCTCTTTCATTGGTCATTAAACAGAGCCGCCCCAAACTCGAACCATTGGTCGAGCCAGAATATGACATGTTGGCCCACATGAAATAAACAGAGCTACCCTGAAAGTGCCATAGAGATTTTGGGAAGTCAGTCTATGAATTGCTTACTCATAATGTTTCTGTACTGTTGTTAAAAGCTGTTATTAAAATAGATAAAAAACAGTTATGAACACATCTTACTGGCCTAAACTTTCTGGCACACACCATATGCTCAGTGTTATTTTAGTATTACTGCGAGATACTATTATAATTTTCATTGACAGTTTGAATTATTTTTGACTTTTCATATTTTCCAGTTTAATTTTCTTTTTAGTTACATTTTTAGTAATTTTGTTGTTTTTTTGCCATTTATATTAGTTTTTTAATATGTCTATAGTTTTTAGTATTTTTTTATTTTAGTTTTATCGATTTTAGTACATCAAGTTCAACTAAATAAAAACAAGAAATGTTTTAAAAAACTAACCGAAATGAATGACATTTTTTTTCAGTTTATTTTATTTAAAGAAACAAAATTGAACAAAATGTTTGTCATGGTTTCAGCTTTAGTTTTACTTAACTATAATAACCCTGCATACGTTTTTAACATTACACCAAAATTAACTACATTTTTTATTTTATTTCAGTTTATTTTATTTAAAGAAAAAAAATTGAACAAAATATAATAACCCTACATATGTTTTTAACATTACACCAACAGACTGATATCAATTACTTGCTATATGATTTGTCTTGATAATTAAATAAAGAAAAAACAAACAAACAATGCATCTAACAATGTGGGGTAAAAATGCAGCTAATGTAACATTTTTTCTTTTTTTTTGTAGTGTAAAACATTCTAAAAACATTTGCACAATAAAATTAGCATGCCATTTCAGTGATTGTTATTTGCTTATTTGAGTAAAAATGCTCATTTTTGTATCTGTCAGAATACCTGGATGTACTGTAGTAATTAAGCTATTCGAAATGTGAGGTACTTTATGTGACCCCAGTGTGAAATTCTTAGTGAAATTCCCTGTCTCAAAGGGCTGCAGTGGCCGTGTGTGTGTACAGTGTGTCTTTGTGCCGACCTCAGGGCATTTCTCTTATGCCCCAGCTTAGCCATGGATTTGCCCCCTACAATGCACTATGGCGACAGTCTCTGACCCTGACACCACCCTCTGCCTCCAATGACTGCTGACACACTACACACGCATTCTGACTGCCCTCAAAATAACCTTTTGACCCAAGATGAAGTTTCATAGTCTTGTAAAATTAATTCTATTGAGAAAGGGAGTACTAACTTTCAGATGTGTATACTTGGATATGTTTTATATGGATATGTAATGTGACAGCAGTTTCAAAAGTAAAAGAAAATACACAACTCACCTCTCTGAGTTCCTGCACTAGGGCATTGAGACGTTCGGCCTCCGCTTGGGCATTGGAGGCCACAGAGCTGCTCACGTTGAGCTGGGTTTGAAGGTCCACCAGACGTCCCATGTAATAGGCCTCTTTGGAGGCAGATTCCTGCAGCAGCGTCTCTTCGTTTGTCTCACCATCCTCGGCGACTTTACGCTGGTTGGTGTACGCCTGACCGAACGCCTGTAAATGAACGACAGAGAGAAAAAGGGGTGTTCAGTTTAAGAAAATTATGGCTGTTTTCACAACAGCACACTACCACAACACCAAACAGCTGATGGTAGCCATTGACTTCCAAACAGGGGCGATTCTAGGAATTTCATTTTAAGGGGGCTCAGCCCCCAATGAGGGTATATATATATATATATATATATATATATATATGTGGAAAAGTTCATTTATTTCAGTAATTCAACTCAAAATGTGAAACTCGTGTATTAAATAAATTCAATGCACACAGACTGAAGTAGTTTAAGTCTTTGGTTCTTTTAATTGTGATGATTTTGGCTCACATTTAACAAAAACCCACCAACCTTATTTTTTTAGTGCTTATAGTGGATGAGGGTGTATTGTCTGTTGTGACCACAGGACATTCATCATACTTGCCCACTTCATGAACATGAACAATGAGGATATTGCTACTACATGAATTTTTATTAATTTCAGGAACTTGATTTACGATGCACTTTGCAGTATATTTGATCCAATTCTTAAGTTCTACTTAATAATCCGGTTTCAGTGGTTAACAGGCCACTGCCACTAGATCATTAATGAATAACGACCAACAGTTCAGTATATTTCTTTCTTAGCAAAGCTACTATACGGCTTCTGAAGACTAATCAATATAAGTCCTTTCAATCATTTTTGGGCGTACTATCCCTTGCACTCACATTTTTTTCTTTCCTTTTGATTGCTGAACTCTGGGGAGAAGGCACAAAAGCGAATGGATATGCCGCTTTGATTAATTCAGTGACAGAAGTGTGAATAAGCTCTCATTGTGATTTAAAATGAGGGCCTGCCAATGTCCCAGAATCCCTGCTGAAGGTGCTCTGCCTCCCAGCTGCACTCTGAGAGAGAACAAGAGAGAGAGATGTATGGACTCAAATATCGGACGTTGCTGTGACCACAGAGACTGGATCTTTGCTGTATAATGTAGGAGGCAGATGGTTTGTGGAGGAAGTGTGTCCATAATGCCGACTTTCTCCATCTGGCTCCTGTTATTTAGAACAGGGAGTCACTCTACAATGCCCTCTCAAGTCTCTAAACTAGTCTCTGAATTGTAATTTTGTGAGGTTGGCATATTAACATTTTTGGAAGATTTTGAGCACAGTCTCTCTTGGATGAAGCTCGGAAAAAAAATGTCAGAGCCATATTTCTTTCAAAATAAAAAAAGCATTTATACAAAATAATGTGTTTTAATTTATTTTATTGTATATTTTTTGTGTTTTATACATATTTTTTTGTGTGTTTTATATTTATATTTCACTAAAAAATATAATAAAATTAAAAAACATTATTTTGTATAAATGCTTATACATATACGTATGTGCATGATGCAATTTTTAATAAAGTAGTAAAACAAATGAAAAAGTAAACAGAAATAAACTATTAAACAAAATATAGTGTCTTATTTTTGTTTAATTATATGTTATATCATACTTAAAACTATATTTTGATATTATAATTATATTTATATTACAATTATGCAATATGTTTAATATTTATATGTAACACACACACACACACACACACATATATATATAAACACCTTGCTTTTATTATAGAAAATGGGAAATAAAATATATGATATTAAATGATGAAATTGATGAAAAAAATAAAATAAAATAGTAGACAAAAATAAAATATCATTCTTACACATCTTCCTATCTCCTGCATATTGCAAGCATCACTGTAACTGTGTCTGCGAGCAGATAGTATGTTTTACATTGGCTGCAACAACAGGAAGTATCTGAAAGCACAAGTGTCAACAGCAACAGCTGCGATAACATTAAACACCATACTGTGCAAACATTTATGTGAATTCGCCTCTTTCACATGAACATACGTGTGTATAGGAAACAGAAAGAAAAAAGAGAAAGAGAGCGCTCAGAGCAGACATCAGTTAGCCTTGTCAGTGATTTGTTCCAGACAGTCGTGGTGGCAGCGTCTGCGTGTCTGTGACAGCAGGGCAGGAGTCTGTTCTGTACGCTGCCAGCACAAGCCAGAAAATCCTTGTTATTCCCATAACTGGGTGGGCTGCAGTCAAACCTTGCATCATCTGTCTCATTCATTCAAGGGTATTGGTGGTTAATATGCATCTTGCATCAGCGATATGCTATGGTATCAGTTCAGTTCGCAAGATATTGCAAAATTACTTTATATATAACAGTAAAACTTATTGATCCAAGTATGCTGACAATATTTAACTGCATACAAGAAACCTTGGAAAGAGAGAGAATAATTGGCACAACAAATTTCTGCACACTCATAACAAAGCTCCTCATGACTCCACCAAAGATTATGTAAGCAAAAATGAATCCTAACATAAATCACAAACTGATTTGAACCCTGACATCAGCACATATGGCCAAAACAATGTTTTATGCAAAGTTATAAGCAAAAGCGAGCTCATCACATTCATGTTGACTGATACATTTAGTAGTTATACTGTACATACAATATAATGCAGGTAAAGTTGTAGAGTATGTGGGTGTTAACTGACTTTTGCTGCATGAAATCTGCCAAGAAAATGACACAGAACTTTCAGTTTCTGTCTGTTTGAACTCATATTTAACATGCACTTTATACTCAAAAATGGAATCTACAATTGTAATGGTATTCTTTAGACTATAACCATCTAACTAAATTTCCCCCAGGCAAATGTGTGGTGCAAAAAATGTCAAACTGTCTGAAATTTCAGTGATGAAACTATAAATTCATCATTATTCCTACCATCCTACACAGAATCCCTAAAAATCTGTCAAGATTTGCCACTAATGAGATGAGGTGTCCAAAACCTAGTAAGCTGTCTCATAGTCTGCTGTCTATGTAGTGCACTGGAAACATCAACAGCATCCTAACCAGAATGGAACAGCACAATAGCAGCAACCCAACACTAACAAACTTAATCTTTCTTAACTAACTTTAACAGATGGTTCCGAAGTTGACATGTTGCTAGACTAATGCGTCAGAAGCTGCATCCAAAATCACTTTCTTTTGGAGTGTGTACTGTATTCAGTGAAGAAATTCTGGACCATTGATGAAACACATACAGTATAGGGAATAAAGAAGTGTGACGACAACATGTTTGTCGTATTTTAACTGTTTAAAATAAATGTCATTTATACATGTTTAAACTAAACTAAAAATAATAATAAATAAAAAAATATATATTATTAATAATATTAATAATTCATAATTAGTTAATAATTAAACATCAACCATTAAAACATCAAAATAGGCTGTGGTTGCAATAGAGCTGGACTACTAAAAACCATATACACAAATAATATACATTAAATCTTTCAAATGAAATACATTTAAATTATGCAGAACTAATGTTACGGGGCTGACGAGACGCGAGACGTGCGGATCCATGTGCAAAGCTTTATTAATAGACATGGTAGAGACAGGCAAGGGTCAGATAATGGCAACAAACTGTGTGTGTGTAATCAGTGCAATGGATGATGGGAACTGTAGTCCGGGTGAAGTGCAACAGTGGTGTGGTGCAAGAGTCCATAGTAGTGGAAGGGTGACCTCTGGTGGCAAGCAGACGGAAGTTCATGGACCGGATTCGTGACAACTAATATATATAGATTTTTTTTTTGACAGATTATCCATTTTTCATGACCTCAACACACAAATTTATGCTATATACAGAGCCAGAGGAATTGAGAAAACAATTGCTCTACTGTAGCATTAGTTTCACCTTCATCTGTATCTTTTAATTTAACACATTTGTCTGAATTACCTCAAGGCAAAGTCCTAGAGGAAAAGACACAAGAGGGCTTGTGCTTCCTGTCAGTGTGAAGAAATATAGATGGAACCAGACACATTAGCAAACCAGCATTATGGAGTCTCACAGCACAGTATATTTGCAACGGAGTCACATAGAAAACAGGAAGCTTAAATAGTAAAAGCTTTGCAGTAAAGCCACATAAAACAAAATAATCTCCATTCCAATTGCACTGATATGCAATGCTTGACAAATCCATTATTATTATGACAACAGAACAAATAATTTACTTTAATTGGCTTCAGTACTGGCCAACATTATATGAGTAATGAGCACAAACAGTAGCTACAGTTCACAACCTGTGTGATGCTACACCTGGAGCTTGTTGAGTTTTGGTGGGGTTTTCATCCCATACGCGAGGTCATTTCCTGTTGTTGTATTTTTTATCAGGTACCTGCAGGGTCCATTTTCAGGTTTCAGCAATGTGTGGAGAAAAACAGGAGAACCAGGGCTGTTCTCAGAGTCTCAGGAGGCTTATAAATCCAGGGTGGAGTTTGGCTAGAATGCTTTCCTCAGCAATGAGAGAAACCAAATAATAAAATCTTCATCGATCCTTTAGGAACTGTTGAACAAAAATTATTTGATTCAAGTCAACAATATTTAACTACTCCTAATGAAGCATCTAAAACATTGGTCTTTTTAGCAACAACATTACAGTACATGCTCATATACTACATAATTTTATTTTGTGGAAAATTAGATACTAGCTATTTGTATGGCTCATCATACAGACACACTAACTAAACTACCACTTCCTGGTAAGTGTTTTTATAAAGACAAAGGGAGGAGGATATACTAAACAGTTCTTCAGCTACACACATCTGCAGCAATGCAGCACTTCTTATTCACTGCAACACATGTTTAGCTGACAGGGGAATGCAGGATGAGAATAATAGAAGACTGTATTACTCCAAATCACCTTTGGGGCAGAAGATGCTTGGGAATTAGGAGCCCGGAGCAAGAAAAGAGGCTTTTCTTCTTCTTTATACCTTGTTGAAAGAGATTTGATTCTGTTTGAAATTTAAATTCACAGCATGCATGCACCTAAACAGACTATGAAAACAGCTTCATCTTTAGTTGAACAGAGCCACTTAAATCGCTTATTTTGAGTAAGCATTTAATGCACAGCACTGCGCACAGCCAGTTGATGTGAAAATTACCTGCAACT